GACGTAGGGATGAAAAATCCTGAACAATTTTAATATTTTTAACATTTAACATTTATCAATATATATGATAAATATATATTTTAGTTATTTTAATATGAAGACGACAAGGCATGCAATGAACTAGTTTAGCGTAAATCGAATAAGCACCTGAAGATGGCACTTTTGTGCCGAAACATGTAGTGCGAGTGAGAGGAGGAGATAGATGAGTGTATGCACTAGAAGACGGTTGAAATAAATCATGACTAAAATCCGTATTCATCATACATGTCGATGAATTCTAAATAATAAAACTTTTCAGGATTCATCCTATAGCGCACTCAAACACGTGAATTACGCCAATCCTCTTTTATGTGAGCATTCTTCCTACATACATTTGTGTATCATGTTCTGTGTTGTGTTTTGCCTCTGTTACTGCTTGCGTTGAGTACACTGTGTATACAGTGTATACACTGTAAAATGGTTAGCATAAACCATGGACATAAACCACTATGTTCCCAAGACTTTGCTACATCGTGAGGTAGTGTGGAATAAAGGTGGGTTTTTATGGTGCCACCTAGGCAGGCAAGTTCTAGAAAACAATTGCTTAAACACAGTTCAACTGAGAATACATGGCGATGAACCCTGGAAATATAGAGTCTTCAATTCCAAATTTGATCGTGCCACTAAACAATGTATCACTGTTAGTCATAACATGGAGCCACAATAAACCTTACACATATCAGTGAAGTGGCCAGGAAGCAACGAAATATCTATTCTGTATAGCTGGTACCAGCTGCCTTCAATTTTCATTGGGCCCATATCGTCATAAAACTATGAGAGTTCACCTTAATGCTGTGACCAATTTTCATGGTACATCCGTATATTCAAACCCACGCAGACATTAGTAGTAGGAGTGCTATGCAAAATAATGCTACTCCTAAACCACCTAATTTTATCATACCAAGTTTATATTTGCTAACAGCCCGCCATAATAAATATCGGAGCCATTTTGTAACCCATATTCATCGATGTATTTTATATATTTTTTATATTCAATTACTTACAAAATCAGACCTCAGTGGTGATGAATTGATCTGATAATTGGAAGTATTATTCAGAATTACACAATTCCTTATTCACTGTTCTCGTGTAGGAAGTTATGAGTGATATTTCTCACACAATCAAACAATGAACAAACTATTCTCCATTGTAACTTCCAAATATCACAGATGAGCCACTGCTATGCGGCACGGATTAATCTGAACCGTTCTAAACGATACGTGGCACGTTCTAACAACCACTGATGACATGGTTAACAGGACGTCACAGTCGGTCAGTCAGGTTCGCCCTGGTTAGCCACTAGTATTGACCATGTCATAAATAGACCTCTCACTCCCACAGACTCTAAATCCTCTTATGCTCGTATGCAGCTTATGCTGCCATCTACGATCACCGAACCGCGCAAATTTCATTCTACATAAAGCAGCCATGCGTTACATGGTCCCAAACGATTGGAGGTACTTCTGGGCACATTACGATACTTTTAATACATTCCGTGACGACACTAAACCATTGCCACAAACTGCAGAACCATATGTTATGTGGATTCTGGGAAATTAAAATATGTTAAATATGTTCAAAGAACACCTATAAATAAAACAAAGAAATTGTCTTTCATTTTCTTCTATATTATTCTAAAACTTGGGCACAAATACCTTCCCAAATGAACACAAAGGCTTAATTTGGCGATAATCCAGAACGTATTGGTTTAGCTCCTGCACAAGAATTATTTTAACATTCTGCAAAATAAACATGTCTTTCAATAAAATAATTTAAGTCACAAATACAGCTGACATACCTGTAGTTACTAATAACCTAAAAAAGGCACAAAAGTAAAACACAAAGGTTGCTAACCTACACGTAGCAAGTTAAAAGAACAAAGCAACCATTCTGAGTTTCAAATGAATTTTCTAGGGAATTACACCATTTTGACAAACTGCAGATGCTATGTTCTGGTCCTACTAATTTCTGGACCATGTGCTGCAGGGAAAAAAATGATGAAACGGAGGTGCTGGAGACAACATGGTGCAGTCTATTTAAATAATGCTTCTTTATTAATCACAATGCTGAACAGACGGACTTTCTGGAGAGATGTCAAAACTGCTGTAGTCTACTTAAGGTCCTATTATAGGATCTATCAGCATGGAGTGTGGAAGACCACAACTGCCCAACTAAGTATAGTTGGAATTCAGATTGGGCTTGAAACGTGTGTATAGGAATACCCTCATGACATTCTATAATACTGTGTTACCACCTAAAAAATTGGGCACTTCACAGAACTAATGCAAAAACCTAATTCCTCTTGCTGCTTCCAAATCATGCAAACCCTTGTCTCCTGATCCAGAAAGACCAGCAAGGTTTATTAAGGTGTAATTTTAGCTTGTGACATTTCGCTGAGTGACATGTTACAGCTGTTCCAACATACACTGCACTCACCAACTCAGAACACGTGAGGGACAAGGGGTGCATGTGGACCCATATGCAGGTCTCATTATGGAAGTATAGGGAAGGGGATGCAGAATATGGTGCTATCCAATGGCAGCCATGGCCTCCTCCCAACAAATTGCACCAAACTGCACAACCCCACCTTCACTCTCATGTCAAAGCTTATGCCTATAGTGTACACTAAAACATTACAACTTCAACACGTGACGCAGCTAATCCCAAAGAACCAACATTACAACGTCAACGCATACCACTTGGCTTGGACATTCCAGCAACTTGCTACATTGTAACTATATAAAGATATCAGTGAGGTGTACATTCGCCAGTATTCACCATTTTGGACACGAACATTGTTCAGGTTGTGTTCTGCACCTCCAAATATAAATACAAAATACATATATAAATGCAGTGTATACATTAAGCATGAAATTCTTTCACTTCTTATTCTACTCTTCATGTTCCATCACTACATAAACTTAGCGAAAGAGTTTCTGTTCCTTAGAGTCACAAGACTCAAAAACGTTATGCAACCTGGTGTGTCGAAGAGTTTGCCTGTCTTCTTGTAGTGTTTTCTTCTTTTCATGCCATAAGCACAGAACAGACAATTCATATACAATGTATGCTACATGTCCATTCCATCATAAACTTTTAAATTTGACAAGAGCAATACACTACTTCCCTGTATGCAGCAGTGATGTGTGTTGCGTCAGCAGAGCTGCAACAAAAATGCTGTTGTACCTTTGCACATCATAATGTCACAATGGTGCAGTTACATGAACTACAGAGGTAGTATTTCCAAATCAGATACGAAGACTTGCATGTAAGCTCAAGTGGTCATAGCATATTTCATGGAGGAAGTATGAAGAGCCACAAAATGGACCTACCAGTCATAACACAACCAAGATACTCCTCCAAACACAACATGGGATGACTTCCTGATGAGTCAAAAGGTCTGACACAGGGAATTTACATTGGCAGAAGTTATAAAATTGTTAGATTCTGAAGAAAGCATTTAACATGCCTTTTGGAGCTCTTCCTTCCAAGTTATTCCAAAAACCACACATGCCATGGTGACATCTGCCCTGAACAGACAGAACAGTGCAGTCAGCATGGCAGTAAGCTTGATCCACCTCCTTACTTCATCTGGTTGAACTACTTGTCCAGCCCATCATAACCTCACCCAGCAGCCACACTGTTGTTAGAGACACACAAGAAGCAACTCAACATTACTGCACCAAACATAATTCCAAGGTCTGAAGACACACATACCTAACTCACATGATGATCTGCGGTTCCGGAACAGATGCAGCAATGGACTTGTGTGGCAGAACCTGGCCTCCATTGATGTATATCTCATCCTTCACAATAACATCCTCCCCTAGTACTGTTGTGTTCTCCATGCGGACCCACTGCCCCACGACACTTCTCCACCCAATGATGCAGCCATCGAGCCAAGAATGCGAACGTACAGTCGCTCCTCGCAATAGGGTGCTGCGCTTCACACACACACCATCCTCAATTACCACGCCGGGACCAACAGTCACATTTGGGCCAATGCGACAACCCTGTCCAATCTTGGCTGTTGGATCCACCAGGACGTTCCCCACAATACCCGGGCCAAAGTGAAGAGCAGAAGCACTGCTCTGACGTAGCGAAGCCAGATACAGACACATACCTGTGGAATATACACAGCCGGCCATACATCAATCCTGAATCAATTTTTTACAGTTGTTGACTTCATGGATTTGAGAACAGTTCAACAATGTGGACAATGTACCACAATTACATGGTCACCAAACGCCACACAGTCTTGATAATCATTTCTGATCTGTTGCTATGTCTGTATTTCAGGCTACTTCAGTTCATTTCACCTAACTCAACAAAAGAGGTTTATGGATACACAAACAGGAAGTGAGGGAACATGGAGTGTGGTCACATCATGCACCCCAAGAAAGTGTCACTAAATGCATAAACTCCAGTGAGTCCCAATCAAAATTTGAACCAGCTCCATGGCACCTCGCATTTGGCTCATCATGGCAATCATACAACCTTGAAGCAGTATCCAGACTACAACTTCGCAGCCTATTTCCTTACCATTTTGTACACATTCGTTTTGTCTCTGTGCATGCCACATCTTACCCAGATTATCCTCCTTTATTTTGTCCCACAAATATTACAGTAGTGAAGAGCAGAAACTGTTAAGCTCCTTAGGACGTAATTTTCTCCATTCCCTTGTATTTCATATGACTTAGGTCCAAATATTCTCCTCAGCACCCTCACTGTTATTCTTCTGTCAACAGGAGACACCAAGATTATGATACAAAACAAGAGGCTTAAAAGAAATAACCTTGAAATGAAATTCACTGGACACTTAGGATCGTCACAATGAGATAAATCACCTGTAAGATGGCATAGCACCAACAGAATATTGTAACACTGCAGAACATGCAAGATGCTGCATGTGTCCCCAGAAATCTACAATTAAATATGGAGCGACAGGGGGCATGCAGTAGCGTACTTGGTTGAGGCACTATTCTACAAGTCAGAAGGTCACAAGTTTGATTCCTCATGATGTCAATGGATTTTCAATTGACTTAATCCTTCCAGCCATGCTATGGCCCTGGGGTTGACTCAAGCTCTAACAGAAATGAATATCAGGAATCTTTCTGGGACCAAAGGCTGGCCGGCACATAAGGCTGACAACCTCACTGGCATCTGTGAGCAGACTGTCCAGAAAATGTGGGAGCTTCGACATCTCACAACAATATGGGACTCCTCCACAGCCTGTCACAGGGACATCTTTGTGGGTTTTTTTTTATTTGCTAGGACAAGTTTCACGTATTCAAGACTCTTAAAATGGGGAAAGGATTTTCCTCTCGTGTGTCGGTAGCAGTGATCCTAACCATGTTTCCACTTCAACTTTGTCACAAAACTTCAGATGTAAAAAAGCTTAGGCCATAAACCCAAAAAATTCATAGAAAACTTGACAATACGGTGCCCACAATCATATCTCTCAATCACATTTTCAAAAGAGTTTCTAGACTTTACCCCAGCCATCCTAACTCACCTGCCTTGCAAGTCGGTCACTAAGATACCACATCTACAAGCGAGTCTAATGTAATGGAACTGGCCATGATGTGTGGCACATATAACATCCTCAACTTCCAATTCAATGGGTACTAAGGGTTTTATCCTCATTAGGTTTGGAGGCTAGAATGTATAGATCTGTAACTCCATCACCCCAATCCCTCAGCACTGTACAGTTGCATGTCTATGCTTTGACAACCTGTAAGGAAGTCCCGTGGCTGTCCGACGTCCATCCAGAAGCCCTGAAGCTCCATGGCATATAACTGGCCCTCACACGCCATATCTGGGAAGACTTCCTTCTCTATGCTGGTTGGACGAAGCTGAATACGACGCAAAACAGATGGACTGAAGATGTACATTCCTGCATTGATTTTATTGGAAACAAATTCCTGGGGCTTCTCAATGAAGCTGTGGATTCGTCCTTGTTCCCCATATACCACAACACCATATTTCGATGGCTCCTCCACCTTGGTGACAACAATCGTGCCCTCCTGACCATGATTCCGATGAAAGGCCACCATGTCCTTGAAAGGAAATTCACATATGATGTCAGAATTTAGAACAAAGAATGGTTCATCACTTGCTCCCAGAATATCTTTAGCAAGTGCAAGTGGTCCTGCAGTACCAAGAGGCTCTGTCTCATGTGAAAACACCAGGCTGACTCCAAGTTTCTTTGCTTCATCGCTCAGTTCCTGTTCCATCTGTTCGGCGCGATAAGACACAGCTAACACTATCTGGGTGACTCCGGCTTCCACCAGCGCTTCCATCTGGTGCAGCAACATGGGCTTATTGGCAAATTCAACCAGTGGTTTTGGCCGACTTAGAGTTAGCGGCCGGAGCCTGGTACCATAACCTCCAACGAGAATTAGAGCCCTCATTTCTCCAAGTTTTGAATCCGTCCCACACATATTAAAGCTGGTAATACCCAGGAATTACTGAAACATTACAAACGAAACAGCAATAACATGTTTGGAAACGACAGTGACATCACAACCAACAAATTCAATCAATTATGTTCCACGAACCACAAATAAAATATACTTACGTTATCATCAACCCGTTCAAACGATAACGCAATACGTGCTTATTTTTTTAGCCACGTAAACATAATTCGAGTGACGTTCGCGTCTCGAAGTTCACAACCCATATGGCACAAGCAAATATTTCGACATAACCCTTTCGAAGTATCACATAAATATCATATAAAAGTTAAGCCACAATACTGCTACTTCTCTAAACATAACTGGAAGTTTAAACATCATCCTCATAACCATCATCATTCTACGTTTTATCTTGTGTCATTCTTTCCTCAGGCTTATCAGACCTCGTGGCAAACATAAATATTCCCTCTGAATTTACGAAAGTTCCCTCGTCTCATCAGTGTGGAATGACGGAAGAACTGGTTCTATGATTTACTCAGGGAAAAAGTTATCTATTGCCTTGCAACTTTCTATAATATTGTCTTTCACCTGGGTCCCACAAAATTATTTCATGTGCCAAGTTCGATTTAGATATATCAGCTTAAATGTTCTGGAAGAATACGCATAGTATTATAAACCTGTTACTGCCTCCATATGGGAAAGAAATGATTTCCCATTACGCCAAACTACATACCTATACTAAATGATAATCAAGGCTTTCACACGTGTAGACAGAGTGGGATGCGGGCAAAGACAGTACCTTGAAATCTAAAGTAGGCAAAATTTTGCAGTAATTCTAGTTATATGTTATGGTTCCACAAAAGGTCATTCCTAATTTTAAACAAGTACAAATAAAAATAGAATTTAGATGAAATAAAAGTTTTGTGAATTGTTGTAATAAAGGGACACTTTTTTTTTTGCATCCTCAGCACCATGGTGCAGAGCTGTCTTGCCAGTCATATCAAATAACCTTAGGTTATTATACAAGGACGCATGTTTACCCTTACCAAAATAATCCATTTCACACTGCCAGCCTGAACTCTTAATGTATCACTTCATTATCATCCTGCCACCCTTGCAAGTCTTTGACATATCTTCACTTCTTGTTTTCCACAGAAAACGTTTTTACATCTGTCCCCAACACCATACATTAGCACTGTAATAAAATTCTGCTTAAAACATTGCCCACAAGTACTGCATCAAACACTTTATACAACACTTTGCTAATTCTCTTCAAATTCTGTTGGGAAATTGTAAACAGCCATATGCACTCTCTGATCTGTCATCTTCCTCTTAAGCATGATCCTATTAATTTAATCCAGACTCTCTCCTGTATAGCCAGACTGTGATGATATAGGTACATACCACCTCCATCTTCATAGTCAAAGTGCAGAACTAGTCCCTGCACCTCAGTACAAAGGGCAGGCACTTGAGTAGCTTTGCTCTCAAAATGGCAAATCAGAAAAGGATGAATCCTGAATAACTTTGCCCCCTCACAGCCTACTGATGTCAGCATGCAGGTATTCCTGGAGTTCAGATTGTGGTGTGGGTGATCACAATGTGAGTGATAACTTCTGTCCCAAGGTGGTAGAACCATGTTCCCCCAAAATGCTGGTGACTTGCAAAGTCCTGCTAGTTCTATGAAGTACCACTCCACATTAATGTTCTATGAATGTGATTGTGGTATCAACATTACACTAGACACACCATTGAAACAGGAGCTCCAACTAACTCAACCAGACAGTTGAATGAAGATTATGATTGGCTGGATACATATAAGGAAACAGTAAATGTCTTGAGTGACTATGGGAGACAAAGTTGGAAGAAATAAATTATGATACACCCGATAGTGAAGAAATTGTGTCCTCGTGAAAACTGCAGTTTCATCACTGTTATCAGGATTATACTCAAAAACAGTTTCTTTTAGCAATGAAAAATACTGTCAGCACATTTTCTTTGGAGCTTAGATCTCATTTTCTTCTGAATCAAAAGCATTATCTCCAATAAAAGATGAAAAAGGCCAACAAAGACTGTGCACATACAAATATGAAACAATTCACTGAGTGTCCAAACTAAGTTAGTGGAACTCACAATGCCCCTAGAGGCCTCCTGGCCATGTGAACACACACACACTTTACACTGCACGCTACATGGCTCACAGGTTAAATGCTATATGTAGCAACGTGAGACAGTGAAAAATCATGTGACCAGGTCTCATATTCATGTTGATGCCACATAGGGCTACCCTAACCTAGAGTATGATGTTGCCTATATCCTGCACAAAAGTACGTGTACTGAATATATTTCCTTCTTAATACATGGATCTGTGAATGATAATAAGTGTGTTTAAAAATCATAACATACCATTTTATCTGTATACTACTATATTTCATTCACTTTAACTTCTACACTGTTTAAGTAACCAAAAAAAAAAATTCAGATCAAACATGACACCTTGAGAAATATGCATGGACATTCATATTTTCTGCAAAGCCTGTACTTGAACTGACGAAAAGAATTTTGCATACACATCAAAACCCCCCCATTTCAAATTTCTTCTGGGAGCAGTGGATTTGAACATGAAACTGAAGAAAATCTTAAATGGAGCATGTTTAACAGAGATCACAGACTTCCAATCACTGAAACTGAAACTTTAATAAAAGATAACAAATTGAGAACATTTGTACTATACAACTGCATAGGATACTCCTTCCATCATTATAATCAAATCGAGATTCTATTAAGCTGGAAGAATTCAGTAGATTCTGATGGCCATACTCAGAATTCCTGACTTTTTGGACTTTGTCAATCATCCAGTATTCCAAAAACTAAAAGATACAGATGTTTCTGTCCTCAGGTGAGGGAGAGGCACCTACTATGTTAGGTCCCTTCGCAAATGCTAACCTCAATCAATGGACTGTTTTTTCTACTTTTTAGAATACTGGATGATGGACAAATTCCAAAAACTCAGTAATTCTGTGTTACACACCATTATCTGAGCCCTTTAGAATCTACTTGTAACATTCTCGACTGGCAGAAAGAGTTCAATGCAACAAACTCTTAACAGGGTGCTCCTCACTTGTTTCAGGCAGGCCCCATTTAACACGCACTTCTGTTTATGCAAAATGAGAACTGTTATATTTGAGTGGGGGGTCACAACTATGGCCCCCTAAAGATATGGAGAACAGTTGAGGCTCCACAGTTCCCATCTAGTGTCAAGGTTATGAATGGTGCAACCATAACTACACTCCCCATGTCTTCATGAAGTGGAGCTTAATGAATGAAGACCCCAGAAAACATTACCATTACACATTACTACATTAGCTTAAGTGACACAATCAAAAGTCTCGTATCTGCAGGGCACCTCTCACTTTGTAGTCTAAGACACTGTGGGAATATCCCACATTATCACGTCGAGGTCACCATAGTGGTTGTCTCTTCATACGACATCCCACAATGGTGACCCCGACGTGATAATGTGGGATATTCCCACAACACATTTCCTATGTCACATACTCGACAATCACATAAACACAGTCCCTCCATTTTTAACCCATCAATACACATCTTTCTTTAAGCACTCTCCAAGATTGTTTTATTCTTTTTTGTTGTCAATAACATCACACATCCAAAAGCTACTGGGACCATTTTGACATACATCTGCAAACACTATGCTAAATACACTAAAAACTCCATTCTGACCTCTTCATAACACCCCCAGGCAAGAGACTGTCAATTGAAAACAAAGGTCTATAGAATTCCATGCTACGTACCTTCTGGTATGAAGCGGTGGTTTTACCGCAAAGCATGCATGTCTCCCAGTGAAACACTGTTTGGCACACACCAATCCTGCAAATTATTTCTCATAAAGGAGCAACGTCGGCACCACTGACTCATGTTGAAGTAGGGCTTTATTACAACAAGTCACATACATTCAAACATCTAGCAAATGCTAGGTCTGCAGCACTTTCATTTCAGTGTTGTTAAAATTACAGAAAAAAAAAAGAGAGAAGTACCCCCAGGGGAATGGACATTAGTCAACAGGAGAGCAAGACTGACAGAGGTCCCCAGCATTCAAAGGGGCCCTTACCATAGCTTCACATAAGAAATGCTAACCCTGCATTACACAATCAAGTCTAATGTTTTGCCTCTGAATTTGTGTTACTTTCCAGATCTGGATTAAAACCTGCACATTTTACTTTCTAAAATCCTGGAGACACACAAATGTAACAAATTTGCTTCTGTTACCACGAATCAATGACAAAAACACTAGTTTCAAGACAATGTGATTCACATGTTTTAGTGCTGTGGTCCAGTCTGAGTGTGCCAATCATCAAAGCTACAGCTCAGTACTTGCGTACAGGACCCATTGACTGCTTATATGCATCAAAGCGATCGCCACCATAGGGCCCACCACTGCTGGACATTCCAATGTTCATGCCCGACATGTTGGGTGTCACATTCTGTGGGTTGCTGTACATTGAACCTGGCCCACCCATACCCGGACCACCACGGCCCACTGTTCCCATTGGGCCTCCACTGCCACTCACCCACCTGCAACAAAACAAGCACAACTTTCAACTCTTGTCCCACAAATGAGTTCTGGAATGCTGTTACCATGTGACACAGCCAGTTTCCTAGAGCAGTTTCCCAGAATACAAAACAAGAATTTCTTTTTTTGTATGCAAGCACTTTAAAAACATGAGTAACACCTGGAAAATACTGCACTGGAATCAACGTTCTAACATCACCAGTACTGTATCCCTGTTTCAAGATGGGCAATGCAGCTATTTCTGCTGCCTAACAATGTAAAAATCAAAATATACAAAACTATAATTTTGCCTCTGGTTCTGTATGGGTATGAAACTTGGTCTCTGACATTAAGGGAGGAACAAAGACTGAAGATGTTTGAGAACAGGGTGCAGAGGAGAATACTGGGACTGAAGAGGGATGAAGTGACAGAAAGCTTGAGAAAACTGCATGAGGAGCTTCATAACTCTGTACTCTTCATATAGGATATTCACTGGAAAGCCAGAAGGAAAGATACCACTAAGAAAACCAAGATGTGTGTGGATGGATAATAATAAAACAGTTCTTAGGGACAAAGATGGGGGTGGTATGGAATGCATTGATCTGGCTCAGGATACAGCCTAGTGGAGGACTTTTGCAAACACAGTAATGAACCTTCGGGTTCCAGGAATTATTGGGAAATTCTTAAGTAGCTCCACAACTGGCAGCTTCTGTAGTCAGTCAATGCAGCTATTTTGTTACATCCACTTTCGCTTCAGGACTAAGGAGCAGTGCTGACATTGCAAGACATAGCAACACTGCACTGCAAAGTACTGGCAGTATTCAGTGTCTGCAACACATGTACATGTTACATCAGGGTATACTTCACGCATGACCGTGAGCAACTTCAAATGCGTGGTCATAAGACACATGTCACAAACCAACAGTGGCATTACAGTGTGCCAATAACATGTGAGAAACATTCTGGGGGCCCAAAAGGATAACCACATACACAGAAGAACTCAAGGTGTGCTCCATGTTTCATGGGATACAACACGCATGACAGGCTCAGAAATGGCATCACTATGTAAGATACCATTACATCCTGAAGGCAAGCTCTAGATCGTACATCAGGTTTATGTGGCGTCATGAACACTATGCAGAATGAACACAGGGACTGACACATGTGATGATTTTCACCCTCTGTTTTTTTTAATTCATGCAGTCTGTCAAATATTACTACCTCACTGTGAGTTCTATTAAGAAAGTGTGTTAATGTCAACATAACAGTACTCATGCAAGTACCTGACCACCACCTCAGCACCTCCACAACACAGAAGACCCTTATTAAATAAAAATTTGGCCAAATCTAGTGCTGATATATTTGGTACTATACAAGATAAAGTGTGCACAAGAGAGAACTCTTGGGTTTTCAGTTAGTGACCTGAACAAAACAGAATATCATAGATACAAACATTAATAGACAAAATATGCAAAGTTTTGCTGCACTAAACAGTGCAAAGGCATGAAGCATCACTGCATGAAATTTTTTACCATGCGATTACTTAATGGACACGTTGAATGCCAAACAAGTTGGCAATGATTTGCAGGATCTGCAGAGCACAATCATTGCAGCAGCTGCAACGACACTTGAACTGCTGACAGGATGTAAACTGGGCTCAAATATCACCTTAACATTTTCAGGACCGTGAATGGAGTTGATGAGTTGTACCCACTAGCATTTATCAGCTGGACTTAAGTACAGCCCTGGCAACCAGATTTAAACATGGTGGTAACACAATTTACTTATGCTTACTGTAACTAATTGGCCCTAGTGAACCAGTGGACTGCCGGAACAGCTGTCACACACAATAAAGAATCATCATCTTACCTATGTGACAAGCTGACATTTTGAGTTCCTTCAGTTTGATGTCAAACTACAGACAATATGCACCTCAAAATTTTCTTAACTGCACTGCTGTCATCCAGTAAAATACAGCAAACCCTCATATAACTGATTTCAAATATAACTGACAAAATCTGGCTATGTACAACTGACAATTTTTACAGATGTTGAGGAACTAAGAAAGTTTTGCAGTTAGAAGACCATTTAAAATACAAGAAGGAATTCAAATCTAAACCTTTATGTAATCACAATGTGTTTCTATATTTGGTGTGTACTGGCGATATATACTATGGTGTACTTTCATCAAACTCCCTTCACCCAGTTGTAGAGGGCTTCTGCCATACCCTATCAGTCCACTATAATAAGGGTTTGTTGTATTATGTTAGAAACCCACCAGCAATCTTCCTCAGACACTTATATTTCATTCTCAATAACCTATGTTTGTTACCTTGTGTAGAAGTAGGCTTGCCAGTGGGATCTGCATCTGGCCATGGCTGCTGCAGTGTAACAATAACTTGATCATGACTGTCACTTCACTCATTAACAGAAGAGACTGAGTGTTTGTCTCTCTCCCTTTCCATCATACAATGACAAGAAAGAAATCTGTAACATGCTTGAGCTCAGAATGCTACATTTACTGAGAGAAAGAGGTTCCTGCTTGCAAAATAAACACTGTGATGATGACAGTGGTTTTCTACAGTAAAGACTGTACTGAAATGTTTGTAGTGTCAGGGATACACTCACAGTCACTCACCTGTCCGAGGCCCCCCAGCTCTGGCTGCTGTCTGCCTTCCTGTCACTGGATGGGCCCCAAGTATCTCGAGGCGGCACTCCTCCACTGCCCATAGAGCTGAATGGTTTCACTGCTGGTGGGCCTCCACCCGCATGCCAAGTGTCGCCCGAACGATCTGTGTAACGGCTCTCTCCTGCAAATGCAGTCAACTTGGTGTAATATTGGAAAATATAAAGCTGGCAAACAGCACGTGAACATATGCAGCACAGACAGGTTCATACCTGCTAGACTTAATACATTCAAAATGGAAAATAAAGAGTACAAGTGAAAAACAACTGGCAATTTCTGTAGGGTTTGACCCTTTCAAGCTTTAACAAGCTACATTCTGTCTGCTGGACTTGAAATTCTAACAACCAGGGTTATGAAGGGTATTCATTATCCTCTGGAATATAACATTAGGCAGTCCAGTAATAGTTCACAGACATTTCAAAGAAACATAACTGCTTCCAACTTCACACCTAAATAGTAAGCCAAGAAAGAAGCAGGCAGCAAAGCAGAGATAGAACACTGCTCCGTTTGAAATATCAGTAAACTCCTGCCAGACTTCAGAGCACTATGTCCCACAAGGCATAGCCTTTACATTTAGTTTCTCTGCAAATGAATCTTGTCTCTAGGAGAAAACAAGACATCAATCAGTACTTGTATGCTGCGGATTTCAACACACGGGTAAAGTGATAGGACAGGTGTATCAATGTTGGTAGTGGATATGTCAAGATATAAACGTTTTTTCCAGGTCTGAGTATCATGTGTTTATTTTATATCAATTTGTGACCTATTTACTTACTCTTTTTCGTATTTACCCTCAATCTGAAAGTGACTGCTTTAGTTAAGTTTCTACTTGTATGTATGACTATACTGAGAGGTGTACCAACTTGTCAGCATTCCTCACCTTTAGATGACTCTGGGTATCTGTCCCTCGAGTGACGCACATCAACCTTAGTACGATGGTCACTCTCACTGCGCCGCTCTTCACGAACTCGGAAACTTGGGCCACGCTCAAATCTGGAATAAAATAAACATTGTGTTACAACATAACAGTACTGCATGGCACTGGAGACAATGCTGGCTCCAACTTAAATTGCAAAAATGTCAAAAAAGATTATCCTCACACAGGACAGGTTGCTGTGGAAGAATATGCTGTGATCTCAATTTCCACTACATTAAACTTTATATACACAATCTCCAAATGATCCCTGAAATTATGGGATTCTCACAAATTATACAAATACAATGCTATCTCGACATCATAAGAATTTATCAAATTTGAAAAAAATGAATGCTGATTCTATTGAATATTTCTTTCTAAAATGGTGGTGATAAATGACTTCAGAATAAAAACAGTAAGTACAATTGGAGTAAAATGTTACTGGAAAATGGCTGCTACTAGTTAAAAATACCTTCATTTTACACAGTGACTAACCATACATACAACATCAAGTTACTGACAATTCTGAAGGTTTCTGCCACTGTTATCATTATAAGCCATGTACCTTTTACCAGGGTTTCACTGTATACAATCTAACATTCCTTACCTAGATCCATCATCAAAGCGCGCACTTCCATCATAGCGACGTTCAGTTGCAACACGTTTTCTCTCCTCTTGGTAGGAATCCCGGCGGTCACTGGATGGTCGTTTCACTGTGCGACGTGACTCTTCAAATCTGGAATAAACACTTCATCATTCAATCCCGGCTACGAAAGACTCTATCCAAACTGCGTAAGTACATGCAGAGAACCAACATACAAGCAACCACACCTGCCACTAAACAACCTTCAGCCAGTCCGATCCACAAAATCTATTTCATATGAATCACCTTAGTATTATTCTCCCATGCATCTCTAGGTATTCATGGTGGCAGCTGCCCAAGTACTGTCTTAAAGCCCATGATGCAACCAGGAAAATATTCAGCGAGTGTAAGCATCAACCAAGTTCAACACACATGCAGCATTACCTCATCTGCTGGCGCTTCAGCTCCTCCCGTTCACGTTCCAACCTCTCCCGCTCCAGTCTCTGACGCTCCCTCTCCATGCGCATCAGCTCATTGCGTTCCCGCTCTATACGTTCCCGTTCGAGGCGCAACTTCTCCTTCTCACTGAAAAATGTGTAATTCAATGTTCATCAGGTCAAACCATGCACTGCACCCAAAGTCTGTGTATACTGATCCCACAGGTTAGTGGCCTTGCCTCAGCAATGGCCACTGACAGTCAACTTGGGAACTTATGGGATCTGTTCACAATTGCAGTCCCCTTCTGTTTGTTTGGCTATGTCAATGACTTTCTGCCAGTGTGCACACTGCCAATACTTCTGTTATATTGGAACTGGTAGCATTCATGTGCAAAACTCCTGACAGCATGGATCCAGAACTATGCTTTGAGCTATGAGCATCAAGTACTTTCCCAGCCCTCATTTAAATGCATTAGAAATTAAACCGATACATAGCAAGTTCCCACCGCCTTTCAAAGTGCAACTATTTATACACAGCCACATTCATCAAGCATAAGATGTTTCAGTGAAACCTAAACAAAGGAAAGGTGTATAATTCACCACCAGCATGTGACTTTCACTTCTCCGTAGGTATTAAAATACTGTGATAAAATGCTGTCAGTGTTCAAGGCAACTGCAACTGAAGCTGAATGAGGTATAGCTGTAATTGCGTTTCCTAAGCAAATTATGTGTGGGGCAATAATATATCATGGGAGCTTCCTCCTTGATGTTAACAGTTGACATGAAGCTGGCACAGTACATTCAACTCTTATCAAATATTCTTCAATAGTTTTGTAAAGGGGAATTTTTGCCTCAATACTCATCAAAAATTCACATTCTAAAAGTCTGCAAGCATGCGCCCATAATGTCTTGTCACATCACAATAACTACAACTGCCTCTAACACGTAAAATTATACTTCAAAAAGATGTATTCACATATTTTGTGCATTACACTTTCAGAGAAGATTTTTCCAGGTAAAAAAGTCTGTAAATAAGGTACCATTTTTGATCCACTTTTACTATATAATACTTATTAATAAAATATCTGATACATGAATTGTAGTTTGAATTGCAACGCAAGACTGTGCTTGCTGTAAACAGTTGACATCTTAGGAGCAGGGTGCTCTGTTCTAGACATTCCCGGTCCCACATCAACTTCACATAAAAACAAACAGGACTCAAAACAAAAGCACAATGTCTCCCTCAGTAGTCAGTCAATTTGATCCTGAGACTGCTCCAAGACAGTATTGCACAACACTTACCGCTCCAGTCTGATAGCCTCCTCTCTCTGCATCTTCTCTATCTCTCTCTGCCTCAAAACCTCATTACGTCTCCGTCTGTCCTCCTCTCGCAACTCCCGTTCACGTTCCCTCTGTCTTTGACGCTCTCGCTCTTCCTGCCAAAACAAACTATAGCATGTACACATACCTACATTTACTGGTTTCAGAGTGACAACCACCAGCACCACCACAAGTTATAATGTTTACATGATCTTGTTTTCCAGTTGACAAATAATAATAATAATAAAGATAAGTCAGCCATCAGTATGTGAGCTCAACATCAAGGCAAGTCTGCAAGACTGTGCCAGAACTCACTCGTATCTGTGCAAATGTGAGGATACCAGGTTTCTTGCTGGGTGAGGAGCGATGGCGAGACCCACGGCGCTGGCTATTAGGGCTGCGACTGTGATGAGAGTAATGGCTACTCCCTACACTGCGGTGACGACCCCTCTTCTCATGCGACACTTCACGACTGTGGTGCTTTCCCCCTTCTTTCTTTACTCCATCAGCAGCCTTTGCAGCCTTCTCCTTGTCCTCGCCTGACACTTCCTGATCTCCCTCAGCATCCACCTTGGCAGGGGTCCCATCTTCTGGGGCCTTGTCCTTCACCTCTGTCACTTCTGCAGGGAATGGATGGAGCAGCATTAGTCAGAAAGGGCCATAAGGAAGAAAAATGTAAAAATATGGAAAAGGATTGATTCACATGCTCACCTGAGTTGGCTTCCTCCTCTTTCTTCTTGTCCACAGATTCCTGCTTGATGGCAGCACTCGCACTCAGCCTGCGTTCATGCCGTTTCTTCTCCTCTGCCTTCTTCATTGAATTGCTGCTTACTTTATTCTCACCCTTCCTGGGCGGCCCTGTGGCATCCCCCTTGGCCTGAAATACCAGCCAATTCACAACTGATACTATCATACGAAACTCTGTCAATGCACACAGAGTTATTTACAAGAGCTTGGGAAAAAACATCCAGGTGATAAAACTGTAAAAAGAACTAAAAAATCAGTAACACACACATGTATGGGCACTGTACAGTTACTATGCAAAATGGGTCTAACATTCATCACCTCCCCCAGCTCAAAGAAACCTTCAATATGGAACATTCTAAAGGTCATAACTTCACTCCCAGAAAAATTAAACTCTCATACTACAGGGTGGGGCCGCAGAAACTTCCTTTTTGTGAAGACACATTGTGATGGGAGGGGAGGTCGCAGAAAAGTGGGGATAGGCTAGGCAAACGCAGCAGATGCAGAAGTTTCTGTCTAATACCCCTCAGTAGGAAACATGAGGTGGATGAGTGAGCAGCGCGCGTTTGCTGTCGAAGCCTATTTTTCGAACAACCATTCCTACATGGCAGTGAAGCGTGCGTTCCGTACTCGCTTCGGAATTAAGCCCAGAGGTCCGGTTCCCGACTGGAAATCAATTGTTTTGTGGGTAGACCTTTAGGACAACCGAGTGTGGTGAAAAAATCATCAGGATGACAACGGACCATTACGACGCCAGAAAATGTGGAGGCAGTTCGACAATCGATTTTGAGATCTCCAAGACGCTCCGCTCGCAAACATGCAGTAGCCCTAGACATATCCAATCGTTCAATGTGCCGAATTCTTCACAAACTTCTTAATTTCCATCCCTACAAGAGGGTTGTTGTGCAAGAATTGTCACCACGTGATTTCCAGAACCAAATAACGACGTGTGAAACGTTATTCAAAACTTTACCCCCCGAAACACGTTTTCTTTAGTGATGAGCTGGCCCCAGATTTTGATGACCTGAAAATATTTAAAAAAATGACCGAAAAAATCCAGAAAAATGACCTAAAGGAAAAAGAGAAAGAACACTTCGCTCCCATACTATTCACATTTCGGAAAAAATAAGAAAAAAAATTCCCTAAAATGGCCAAAAATGACAAGAAACGCCCTAAAACGTCCAAAAATTTACCAATGATAAAAAATAACCTATAAAATTTACATTTCTGTAGTAAAAGAAGCTCATGTCCCAAGGGGATCTCCAAGCCAAATTCAAGGGCATTTCCCGCCCAACAGTAGTCTCTAACGCCTCTTGTAGATGGGGGAAGCATCGAGATACCGCTGAGCCAGTAGAGGCCGAACTCTCTGGCTGAGTCGGGACTGATGGCACCCACCAGTACCGGTAAGGAATAGAGACTGGTAGAATATCACAGGGGACACACAATGGAAGAATATCTGGTCTAAGTGCATGGCTGAACCTACCCTCCCCAATAACAATAACAACAACAACATTTCTGTAACCAGCAGCTCATATCAGATATTTATATATTTAAGAGCATCGCAGAGGATACAAAAAAAAAAAGACATGTCACCAAAATCCGGGCCCTGGTGATGAGGCACATTTTCACCTATCCGGATATGTCAACAAGCACAATATGCGCTATTGGAGTGGTAACAATCCCAGAGACCTCCATGAGAGGCCACTTCAGTGATAAAGTGACAGTATGGTGTGCGTTGTCAAGAGCTGGAGTTACTGGTCCTTATTTTTTTGAAGAAGACTATCATGCAGTTACCATCAATTCACAGCAGTATGTGGACATGATTAAAAACTTTTTTGAACCAGCTCTTGAAGAAATGCATCTAGGAAATGTCTGGTTCCAACAGGCCGGTGCCACGGCCCACACAGCCCAGCTTCGATGACAGTTTTGAGGGCAAAGTTCCCCGGACGGCTCATCTCGCTTCGAAGTGACATCCCGTGGGCAGCGCACTCACCTGATCTAACACCCTGTGATTTTTTTATGGGGATACCTCAAGGCAGAGGTTTTTAAACATCACCCCACAAACCTGCTTCAGCTGAAGAATGTTATTCGGCAGGAAGTAGCCCAAATTCCGGTGTACATGTTGGAACGTGCAGAGGGGAACTTCAGAAAACAGTTCCATCAGTGCACAGAGAATGGTGGCCACCACCTTCAAGATATTTTGTTTAAAACTACATCATTTAAAACTTTAAAGTATCTTCTTTCATTAGCTAAACATAAATTTTGTCTATCAGCAATAAACTTTCTTTTATTCGCTTTCAAAAAAAATTTCTGCGCCCCACCCTGTAATTGCATCTCCCCTGCTACTGCTGCCAATTATTACTTCTCAGAATGTTCCACAAGATGAGTCCAACCGTCGCAATTTGTACCTCGTTCCAATAGGTCTCCATCATTGATTTGGTTACAAGAGGTGAAAAGATTACATAGTAAATAACTGCAAAAGCTGACCAAGAGTCCTCACATTAAGCTCCCTGATCCCACCTACATCTATACTCTCTATAGCACTAAGATCCACTTTAATAACATTCTCCAATCTACACCTAGGCCTACCCTTAATTTTCAAGCCAGAACATGTTTTTATTTAGTTTCCCCCCACACATGCTACAGCCCTATCCGCCTCAACATGCCTAACAGATCAATGTGCAATACTGGCCTCTACAATAGTTATCTTCTTGGTGTTCAGGTTATGAACCACACTTTAAAACCATGGCAAGTGGCACAAAAAGATATTTTAAATGTATCACTTCATTAATTTGAAGTATTACCTAATCCAGCTCCCCACTCTCCAAATTTAGTGCAGATTAGTGATGTTTCAGTAGATCACTTCTCACATGTTTCAAAGATTTTTCCAATTAAAATCTGTGATATGGCCTGCATCTTTGCCATATGTATGTTACAAGTGCAGACATCCACACACAACACTTTCTGCTATGAGGCAATTCACAATGCTTGATGGACAGCTACAGGGTCATCATGCTAATTCCCACATTAATGTGGTGGTGACACGGCAATTTCCCAACTGGCATTACCTACCCTTTCAACAGAAATCATCCGCCCGTGTAGTTCTGTCCTGTGCAGATGCTGGATGCACTTGGAAGCGTCTTCACTTGTCGCCATGGTGACATAGCCATAGCATCTGGCACCAGGTGTACGAGCATTTGTCACCACTTTGGCACCTATCACCTGCAATCACATTAACACCCCCTCAATACAAACCAATGATGCTGGAGCATAATGCGCCCCTCTATGACTCCTTCCCATGCCAATTCTATCTGGGGCACCTAAAGCAAGAGTCCAGTTGCCCCTTCCTCATTCACATCATGTATATGAAATGCCAGCCGCTGAAAATTGCTGAATTATGTAGAACCCTTCTATGAATCACGTTAACCCTCACAAAATAACAAATAAAAAACATTAAGTTCATGGACTCCGCCAACGGTCTGCTACATCCCAATTGCAGTCTATTTCCATCAATGCATGGTCTTACCGCTCTTCTCAAGTTGCTTTTTAATGTGTTCTTTGCCCTCCTTCCATCTGTCTGCAATATAATCACAAGCCTTGCTACTTCAGCATCACTTTCAAATCATCTAATGTTCTCCACTTTGAACAGTGGGCCCATTACATTTTAAGGTAACACAAATTAAAGTTGTACATATGGGCAGCTGTAATTTTATTAATGAGACACAATGTCACCGCATGGCTATTCTCCAATGTGGTTATGATACCTCTCTGCGCAATGAAGAGGATAGCTGGGACGTGACACAGTGTCACACTTTTCTGAACCTCAAACCTCCCTTACTCAACATGTATCTTAGCCTGAAGAGTGAACTCTGCATGCCCCCTTCTCAGTAGTAACTTCACATATCAAACTGCATGGCATCGTGTATTACAAAAACAATCCTTCATTTTCATCAGTGTTATTGAGGCCGATCCCATACAAAAATAAAGCTGTTCAAAAGCAGCCATGTAGACACAAGTGAGCCAAATCAACCTGTGTTTGGCAATGCATAGAACATACATTGAAGAACCAGGAAGTCCCCAGAATCCAAGAAAAAAAAGAAAGAAAGGAGTACAGCTATACTTGTAACAGGTGAAAAATGCGCATAGGGTTCTCAGACATTGAGACTCCCATGTTTCTCAGACAGTTGGCTAGCACATGATGGTAAGGTTGTCAGCCTCATGCACCAGCCGCACCCACAGAAAGATTACTGTACTCATTTCTGTTATAGGCTGAGTAAAACCCAGGGCCACAGCACTGCTGGAAGGGTTAGGTCAATTGAACAACCCAATGACCTCATCAGGATCCGACCCTGCGACCTTCCAGCTTGTAGACTGTGCCTCAACCAACTACACTACCACGTGCTTCCAGATTTCAGGTATAAAATTTTGTAAAATGGACAAGCAAGAAAAACACACACAGCTTTTATCTCCATACACTACATGGAGTTTCTGCTACAGTCCCTTAGTTTGCAAAAGAACTCTTACATTCACCTGTTAGCCACCTCACGCTCAGCCTCTTTACTGACAAACCAACTGGCTAACCGAAACTACACTGCCAACCCAAACCTCACGCTGCACTACAATAAACCACCAGACAAGTACAGAAAAACCCAACACGTACCTACATGTACAGTTCCAGTAACACTACCAGTCAGTAGTGGACTGTGCCTCACCTTGCCATACTTGGAGAACACCTGTTTCAGATCTGTGGCACGTGTGGATGAGGACAGTCCGCTCACCCAGAGGTTGCGACTGCTCCCACTTGTGGATCCTCCCACACACTTGCCCTTTTTGTCCGCTGGAACACAGGACTACATGTTAATATCCAAACAGTGAGAGCTGTACTTTATTGGGTATCAATCCCTGGGCAACAAGATTTTGAGAAATGCAGTAAGTTTGACACAAATATCACAATGAATAAGGGTTGCACACAGCTGATACAGGAAACCAATATTCCATTCCAACCAACAAACCCACAGTCAACTTCTGGGCACAAACAGAATTATTAACCATACACCACTGAACAGCTTACCTTTCTCATCTTTGGGAGACTCTGACTCAGCAGCAGCAGCAGAACTGTGATGGAAACACAAATAGCAGATCAGTATTACATTCATACAGTGTCAACAACTTAAATACAGCATACTACAAACTGACAGCACTATGTAAGCTACAACTCTGCCTCAAGTTGTTGGCCCTGACTACAGTGAGGCACATGCGGTACATTCATGATCCCACCCTTTACCCCTTGTGGACACAGTCCACTGTGGTCCTCAGGCAATAATACACGCACACTACCCCCTCCCCCGACATAACCCTATATCGCAACACGCAAAGATTACAAAGTGTCATACAAACAAAATTAAGTGCAGCTGTTGCTACCAGATCGGCACTTGCGTTTCTTCCGAGTGCCATTTCACCATCACGAAGTCATCTTTGGCACAGTGCCACAATAAAGCAAGCTTCCATGTCCATCATGGGGCGGCACATCGCAGCTTCTCTCTGGGGCCGAAAACAAACCAAACAATTTTACAGCTTTATGCTGCATCCCAATATGGTGTCTTCTGAGCACTCTCAGGCCCATACTTCTCAAATATTTCCCTACATTTCAATGTTTAATTTTGTGACATTCGAACCACTCACCACCATTTTCACCTACCGTGAATCTGATATCTGTCCTTCCGCTTTATTTACGTAATGCAAAATGACATAAAATTTCATTTTGTTATTCTTCACCCATTTAGAATATAATATTTTGAAACATATGGAATTGAAGATCCAAGGAGAAGTGGTATCATGTCTTCATCGTGTCACGACTCCATCTTGACGTATCTAACCTACAAGCCCCAGATATCTAGAGAAATGAGAAACATACACCGACTCCACTGTACCTCAATACATTACCACCCAAACCATCATCCTCTAAATCATGGTGATGCTCCTTGTGAAGGCGCCTTCGTCGACTGTTCCCGTTATAATACAAACCCCATGAGAGTGTGAGACGAACCTCTTGGTTCCTCCGCCAGATTTATCATCACTCTGATCCTCTTGGCTCTTGCTTAGCAACTCTTCCTCTGCAGCATGTTTGTTCTCCTCTTGGCCTGGCGAATCCTTCTTGCTTGCGTCGGCTCCTGCCTCTTGCTGAGTCAAGCCTGCCACCGCACTATCCTCATCTACAGGGACAATCAAGGAAGCATTACGACGGCGTTCATCAGTGTCTGCTCCTGCAGCTGTTGTTGCCACTCGGATGGGAGGCAAGTCGACTCCGTCGCCACCAAGGAAGTCATTAGCTACTGAAAGAGTGGACAAGCATTACTCTGCCATTGACCCCAGACTTACCTGAGCAGGAGGCCCCCTGCTCAAACCTGTCAAGCTTTTTCTAACGAGACAAAACTAGCTCTTCATGCTGACAGTTGACATCTTCATGTGGCATGGTGATAGCAGACGTACCATCTGTGAGATTCAGACACAGATGCCCATATCAGAACATGTAGTTACAAACCTAACCGCTACAAACCGCCCATCAGCACAAAACAATGTAAAGTCAAGCGCCTTTACGTCACGAGATGGCAGCGGGCAAGGCCCCATTCCACCTATGTTACTGCCATATAGCAGCTTCTCTCTTCGGACCCCATGCAAATTGTTTCTTCTTGCACTCTTGAGCATCTTGCACACACTTCACTCACTTGGGGACTCGCCCACTGCCACACTGCGACACATGACTTCACAACACAAGTGAATACCTGCTCAAGCAGACATACAGTACCTTTTGTTTCCTTCTCCTGGCTACTGCTGTCCTCCTGAAACACAACAGAAGAGAGCACAAGTCTCATTACATGTTTTATTCTCACAGCCTAATTTCATAATTTCCTGCATACTTCAGGAGACCCTGCAATACTGGTTCAGCCATCTGCCACTAGGCACCACAACCGAAACAGCTAGCGTTACAGAGCTTTAAGAACCAACATAAACCATGTAAATTTATCATGCCGTCCTGTACCGTACTTTATAATCCAACTGTCAGTAGCGTGGCAGTTAGGGAATAGGAGTGCGACAAACATAGTTCATGTAGCGAGGCCTCAAATTGAACCAGTCCACTGCACAGACTGACACAGAGTGCTATGCCTCGCTCAGACAAAAACATCTTGAATACTCTGAATTCAAAGCACAGGATTCCAGGCTCATTGTTCACAATGATAACACACACTTGCAGTTGTCATTATCTGCATACAAGAAATCCTACCAACTTAATAAAACGATTGATCCACTACTAATATTTTCCCATCTAAAATGCACGTTCACTTCAAATACGAGCAAAGCTCTGGTAACAGCAAGTATGGATGCTACTGATGTAGACAAAGTTAGGTCCAATTTAAGGACGGAGACATACAAGTGGCATAAAGGTAAGGTTCTAAGAATCCTATTCCACAGTACTAGACACAGCTTCACACTATGGTCACTGGACCCAACCCACAACTGGGTGGGAGAAAAAAATTTCTGCCCTCACTACAAATTTAAGCCGTCATCATGCCTGCAGCTCACGTACTTCAATGAATCATAAGTTAATTTTCATTCAACAGCAAAAGAGACAGAACTGATTCTGTGAACCGACCTCCTCTGCTAGCAACTTCTCCTCATCCTCGCCTATGGTGAGGTTTATGGAGTCCTCATTATCCACACCGTTCCCTTCGGGCACATTCCTGTCGGCCTCGCTGCATGCTTCCTGAAAATAAAAAGAACACTCAACAGGCACAAAACTAACAAGTACTAGCCAAAACTGGGGCCCTTCATTTCCAAAGAAATAAAGATCTGCCTCACGTTCATACAGCATACCCATCCAGCAGCATATGCCTTCATAGGTTCAGAGATTTTAAGGGAAGTGACGCTCCATTGCTTTTTGAGTGCTCAACGTAACTTGCAACCGGAATGCAGCATGGACAGGCCAACAGCAAATCCTCTTGAAATTTGATGAAAACACGACTAGGAGCTCGATAACATCATTTATACAGAAACGGCTTTTAATAATGCGAATTGAACTCAACTGACTCAGAAGCTGTGTTCAATTGCTGGTTTCCACATTAGGGGTACTGAACTTTGGGGGCTCAGACATAAGTTATTCCTCAAGACAAGGCTGCAACTTTATTCTCCTGTGACCATTACAGTCTTCCAAGTTATCACTTTCCTGATTGCTCAGCTAATACTATCGCATCCATCCGAACCACAATTTAACTACTCTAACATAAGAAAAACATAGGCACAGAGTTCCTCTGTCTTGGTTCCACATTTACACACATTTGATTCCATATAATTTTCTGAGTTCTCTGTTCTCAAATACAATATCAGCTCTTACATCACCTCTGAGTGGGGCACACTGTAGCTTGTTGAGGCACCATGCTACAAGCCAAAAGCTCACAGGTTCAACTGACATAAACCTTCCAGCAGCACTATGGTCCTGGGGTCAACTCAGCTTCTAACAGAAATCAGTACCAAGGCTCTTCCTGGGGGTTAAGGGTGGCCAGCGCATAGGCTAACAATGTCGCTGCCATCTGTCAGACCACTGTCTAGAGAATGTGTGAGCCTCGACATCTCACAACCCTATGGACCTCCAAGGCCTGTTAGCTTTACCTTTTCTTTTCCCCCTTACCTTCACATCTTCCCAAGCAACCACATTTCATGACCATTACACACGTACCTCCACCTGGGGTCTTGCCCCTTCCTCTGGTTCATCCTTCACTTTCAGTTCCACCTCAGCATCAATCGCAGGGTCAGCCATCAACACGACAACTGGCATCTTGTCCAGGACTTCATCTTTCATCTGTGTGGATTCAGCTTCATCACCTGCCTCGTCCTCCTTCAAATCCTTCTTTGCATTCTCATCCGCATCCACTTCTATATCACGCTCCTCATCCATGTCTGCGTTGTGGTTTTCCTCCACATTGCTGTGTGTCTCAGACTCTACGTCTTGTTCACCACGCTCTGAAAGCATTATGTAACTAAGCTGTCTACCCTGTGCACTAGCTTGTAGTGGTGCCACTGTAAGTTATGGCTCTAACATATACAGTAAAGTCATCCTCCTCTCATCTCATGGCTGTAAAGTGACCAGTCAAATTGGGAGTACATACACACAGCAGAAATGAAACTGAAATGGAAAGCAAAATTTAGTGAAATCCAGTCAGCCAAAGATGGGTCATTTTTGTTAACTGCAGAAATCAGACATCACTCTTCTGTCTTCAAAACTACAGACCAATACTGCCAATTTACAGATATCCAACTGTCAACAAGGAACAGACACTTACTACAAGGAACAGACACTTACTACACAAAGAGCAAAGCAAGTTCCTTGTTGACAGATGCCACTTCAACAATCACAGCAATCTCATTCAGATAAGCTGTCAGCCAAGTCAACACTCCAGTTACATGGTTTCCTCCTAAGATTAACCCGTTGCCGTGGTTCGACGTGTATGTTTCGTCAGGGATTTAAATCGTCTGGGGGGGTTCGACGTGTATGTTTCGTCCAGCTGCACACCTATGTTATAACGCCCATAATAATTGATGGTTTTGCTGTAGATTGTTAGATTTTTCGCTGGCCTGTTGTCAGTAGAACAGAGTATAAATAAGACACGACTTTATCTGCGCCAAGTCATCGTTACATATACCTGTCTTGCAGCAAAGTTCCTGTTGCTCTTGGGAGAGGTTCCTCCGTTCCACTGTTCTGAAAGGCCTGTTTTGTTTCCTATGAACTTATAAACAACAGAGACGTGTGTTTATAATATCATATTGCCCTGAGCTGGCCACAATAACACACTCAATTGGAATTCTTAGAACAGGGATGTCCATAAGCTTATTCTCGCATGATCCATTGATTTCGCACAGTACAAAGGCCCAGTTCTTAGAAAAACGCCACAATTTAAGGCAGAACACTGTGGTCACCCCCTGAGACGATACGGATGTGTGTGGGGGAGGGAAAA